TGACTAACATAAGGCTACTGTGGAAGTGCCCATTTCGGTTACAACGACATTCGTTTATAACGACACTATTTTTAGGTCCCTTTGATGACGTTATAACCAAGTTCTACTGTAGTTCTGTTGGTCTCGTGTAGGAATGAACGAGTAGGTCTGTATCAATTAACGGAACGAAACAGAAATTTAAAAGCTCCGTGCAGACTGAAGCAATAAAAAACTGCAAGGAATGCAGAAGGTCGTACATCCATGTCTTACTGCTGCAGACTAAAGGCCTTAGAGGTCATTCACAGACTTGAGCACTATGAGGACATTGGTTGGCTTCGCATCTCGATGAAGACAATCGCAATAGGCGGACTGCTGGAAGATGCCACAACCGCTGTATATGTGTGAAGGAACATTTCCAGTACCCCTTCCCCGTGATAGAAACCCAGCAGTTAAGCCGTAATCATTCACGTTACTGAGCTAGAATAGGCTTAAGTCGATTTAGCGACGAGCTACTGGCTGGGCGGCCGGGGTCAATTCCCGGCAGGAGTAAGAAATTGTTCTCAGTTCCACAATCTCCAGACCGGCTCTGAGGTTCACCCAGCCTCCTCTCCATTGGGCAGCCGGGACTCTTTTCCCAGGGATTAAGCAGCCGGGTCGTGAAGCTGACCATTTCCACACAGTGCCGAGGTTAAGAATGGTGGAGCTGTACCTTCAGTCCCCCATATGTATTCACGGAATAGTGCTTAATTAATTAAGCACAGGGACAAATTTAGCTTTTACTTTACAAAAGTATTAAGAAGCCACGAAATTTGAAACAAGGCTTTCTCTTTACTAAATCCCTGTGGATATAAAGGATGTGGAGACAATTTAGAATACAAGTTCACAGTAAGTACACCCTCTATCCGCAAAAGTTGGCACTAAGTTGGCGGCGGTCGCCCAGTCGGTATAGTTCGCTTGCGGACTACAGGCCACGGAGTTTAAGTACAATTGTGGACTAATAATTTTACAAATTTAGCCGTCAGCACAACAGACATTAATTTAAGCCACACTACATGTTTCGACCCTTAAATGGTCGTCTTCAGGTGTTCCTAGTTACACGATTAATTATTCAATTGAAACGCATAACTAATAAAAATTATACAAATACGCAGATTTTTTACGTTTTGTCTCAGTAATGCTCACAGCCTGTATGTAATTAGTCGTAATTAAAATTCCTAGACTTAAGGGCAAAAGGGACAGCTGGACGTGGCTGTTTTTATGTGGTGGCCCGTTTCAACTTCAGTCGCATCTGGCGATGTAGGTGTTCCAGCAAGTACTGCACAGTGACACATGCAACATTGTCTGTGGAGCACAAAACCGGTTACCTGAGGAATGTCCCCCCCCCCCGCTACAATAACTGGTAACCACTGCAATTCTGTATATATTGTGTAATAGTGCACAAGTATTTTGTCCAACTCTTCTACGGCAGAATCAAGAACAGCCGAAACTTGCGGCCAGGGATGTAATTTGTGAGGTTTACACGGCGGTGATTGTTCAGATTGTGGTCTTACGAGTAGTGACACCGTATAGTCTTGAAGGCGGATGGTGACGTAACGCAGGAGCATACTGCCTCCATGTTCAGGATTGAGGTTTGTAGGATGAAGAATAGGTTACGTTGTCGGCCTGTATGTAGGTTGAAAGAATAGGGCGATCACCTTCCTTGAAACTGGCTAAATAACCCATCCGATGGCTCACCATACACAATTCAACCCTAAATATTCCTCCGTAACGTCAGTATTCACCTGCAAGACTGCACGGTGTTACAGCCAAGAAGATTACAGTAAAGATGTTTGTAAACAAGACGTCTACAGTCTGGTTCTGTATGACATGCGTTCGACCTCATTGCCAGACTGTGAAATTATGTCCATAGTTTAAATTTGCCAACTGGAACTGCTCTTTATATTAGGCGATTCTGTTTAATAACGCACTACGTTTGGTAAAAGGAAGATACTGAATTTCGTTACTGCAAGAAATCAACTTCCTGAAAAGGTAAAGGGTGATACCCACAAGTAGAATTTGATTTCACTTTCTTTGGAAAATACAGTACGAATTCGATTAAACGCTGTCACGGCTGAACTGTGAATTATTCTGAAAATATACCAGGATATTAGAACACAAAGCCGACCCGGAGTTCATAAGTGCTTATATTAAGCTGCGTAGCCTGTAGTCCGCAAGCTAACTATACCGACCAAGCGACCGCCGCATTCGGCAAAGTTAGTGCTAACTTTAGCGGATAGAGGGTGTCGCGTGGTCAGCGCAACGGATCCCCACGGCCGTTACTCTCGGTTTTCTAGACCGGAGCCGCTATTTCCTTGAAATAGCTCTTCAATTATCCCCACGAGGCTAAATGGACCCCGTTACAGACCCACTACTTCTCAGAAAATCTGGTAGCACCGGGAATCGAACCCGGGACCTCTGGATCTGTAGCCAGGAACTCTGGCCACTAGATCACAGAGGCGGTCTAAATGATCATATTAATGCTATCTGTTCCTCTGATGATCCTGATATTACCAACATTAGCATGTTGTAATTTTTATCAGTTTTACAAGTGTAAGAAATTTATATTTAAAATATAGCCGGATATTAACACAATATGCTCTATTGGAAAGTATACTTCAGATTAAACAAATGAAATCATTAACTGTACAGTATCGATAAAAATGATGTACCACCACGAAAAGAAAAAGTTTCATCTGTTCTAGACGTTCCAAAATAGAGTACTCTGCATATTTCAGCCAGTCATGGGGTTTAGTTTCCTGCGGTGGTTCCAGCATGTAGGCAAGGGATTCTGGATCATATGAATCGTTTATTTAGAAATTCAGACTTATCAGCTTCATTTAATGTGATTCGGTATGAAGTCTTTAATCGTAGCACACCACCACATTATCAATTTTCCTGGATAATCTCTTTCCAAAAACAGAGATACCATGTATGCGACCAGAAGACGAGGAAAAAGACGTAAGAAGATGCTGGATGACCTTGGGGACAGAAGAGGATATTCTCATTTGAAGGAGAAAGCTCTAGATCGCATCAAGTGGAGGGACTGTTTTGGAAGAGACTGTGGACCTGTCGTATGACAGATTACTGATGAAAAATATTTCTCAAATATTTCGACTTCCATGATTTATGCGGAGTAAGAACACTGCTAGTTTCCCTGAAAAGTCGGCGTCCCTTCTGCTAGATTTATTGGCAGAATGTACTTTCCTTATGTCTAAAATGTCACACATGCCTGTACTATCTTTATGTGGCCCCGAGTCGCCTTGAACCTTCGTGCATACGATACAGTAGCAGGAAATGAATTATTTCAGACTTAACATTATACAGTCGCATGTGTGTGTGTGTATGTACAGGGTGATTCACGAAGTTTTACCCCCACTTAAGGAGGGCATTTCTGATGTAATTTGGAACAAAAAATGTTAATATACCAATGGTATCCAACTCAAAGAGATACAGTAATTTGAAAACTGGCGAAAAATCTTTTTTTCTTCGAATTTCAGTCAAAACGAATTAGAAATACAATACAAACACTTTTAAAATCGTTATTGTTTTAGGAAAGAAGCATTCTAAAACCAAATTTTTCTTTTCAATTTCTTAATTTTGCATTGTGCAACATTTTTCATCGATTTTGTGTTACAAAATTACGTTATTTTCAGCATCCCATTCTGTAAACATACCAATGGTTGCATATCACACCCTTCTATCGATCTGTTTCCTTTAAACTGTAGTGCTTTAGAAGACGACTGGATTTACATAAGATTTTCAAAAATGTCTCCCTGCACGTCAACACAATGCGTCGCACGCGTATGAACCGCTCTGCCTATCTACCTACGCACAACATTCAAACCGGTCTACCTTATCTGCTGACATAGCTGACTGGAACGTATGGTCGCCCACGCTGAAGCATAGCGCTGCATTCACAATGATGCGTTCCGAAAATATATTGTTACTCCGTAACTATTGAAAATCGACCAGAAGTTTATAAGGAAATTTTGCAGGAAATAACCCCAGGAATATGTACCATAAGCCGGGGTAGAACTTCGTGAATCACCCTGTATATGTCGGTCACGGTAGCCTAGCGGTCTAAGGCATGTACTATCTTCGCTCGCTTGGAAACCGGGATCGTGGGTTCGAATCCCACTCAGGGCATGGATGTTTAGTTTGTGTGTGTGCGTTTTTCTGTGTTTGTGTACAGGTAGAGGCCTTGCGACGAGCTGATCACCCGCCCAAGGAGTCCTACCGAATGTGTAAGATCTAGAAAAACCGAAGTGAACGGAGAAGTTCATGGAGGTAGGCCTAGGCCCACTGGGGCTATAGTGCGAAGGGGGAAAAAATATATATGTATATAAAGGAGCTGGACTAACGCAGTCGGTATAGCGATTGGCTACGGGCTGGACGACAGAAGGGTTGGAGTTCGAGTCCCGATAGGGTTAAGAAGTTTCTCTTCTGCACGTCATCCAGACCGGTTCTGGGGCCCACCCAGTCTCCTGTCCAATGGGTAATGGGGGTAAAGCGGCCGGGGCGTGAAGCTACCCACTTATCTCCAACTAGTGCTGAGGTCAAGAAAACGTGGATATATACATCCACTCCCCATACGCCTTCATGGCGTAGTGCTTATTAATTAAACCCAGGGGCAACTTTATCTTTTATTATATATATAGCCCCTCAGGATTTACAGAAAAAGAATTTCCGAGTTTCATATTTAAATGTAGTAAATGCAACAAGACAGGACAATAAAAAAAATTGTAACTTAAATGCGGCATTGCTTTCTATGTAATATTTCGATATGGATTGTATTTATAGCTCAGTATAGCCTGCACATCCAACCTATAAACTGTCAGGCCTGCCATGTGAGCTCCAAAAATGATGAGCTTAAATTCTTTTTTTGCGCAAAAAAAGTAACCAATAATATATGTTTGTACATGTAAGTTACGATTTCCACAGCCTGGTGGACATGGCTAACATCATTTTCCTGCGCCCCCCAATATTTCTGTAACTTGGTGCTGTCACTGAATGCCCATATTCCGAATAAATGGATTGGTAAACAGATGAAGGCCGGTCACGGTAGCCGAGCGGTCTAAGGCGTGCACTGTCTTCGCTCTCTCGGAAGCCGGGATCGTGGGTTCGAATACCACTCAGGGCATGGATGTTTGTGTGCGTTTTTCTGAGTTTGTGTACAGGTAGAGGCCTTGCGACGAGCTGATCACCCGCCCAAGGAGTCCTACCGAATGTGTAAGATCTAGAAAAACCGAAGTGAACGGAGAAGTTCATGGAGGTAGGCCTAGGCCCACTGGGGCTGTAGTGCCAAGGAAAAAAAAAAAGATGAAAATCGATTTATTGGCTTGCTCTTGCACCCATTTCATGCTCATTAGAGTTCTTGAAGTATTACGTGAAGGTTGAAGTGTACTCGAAAATGACTTACCAGCGAAGCTGGAAACGAAGAGTATTGCAACTAGTTGTTACTTCTGATCACTTCTATGTTCTTCCAACTGCTACAGCCACCCTTCGTCCACATGCGTACAGACCCAAAGGACCGCAGAAGCGCACGTTGCAGCAAACGCTAAATTGGCTACTAGTGTGCCGAGCTGCTAACTGAGATCATATTCAAATAAGGCACACAAAGTAAATAAGCGTGCAGAAGGATACGGTGGACACGTGACAGGCGCGTTAGGCAGAAAGAATTACGAATAACATCCAAACATTCATACTCTTCAAATTACTTCTGAGGAAAATGTAGATAATGTGAGGAAAAGGAGTGATATTGCGCAGTTCTGATGCTGCCTTGTTTTAGAAAACGACTGTTTCAGCGCCGGTTTAGTTTTCATTGTATTAAGAACATTTTTTTTTCTTTTTTCCTTGGCACTACAGACCCAGTGGGCCTAGGCCTACCTCCATGAACTCCGTTCACTTCGGTTTTTCTAGATCTTACACATACGGTAGGACTCCTTGGGCGGGTGATCAGCTCGTCGCAAGGCCTCTACCTGTAGACAAACACAGAAAAACGCACACAAACATCCGTGCCCCCAGTAGGATTCGAACCCACTATCCCGGTTTCGAAGCGAGCGAAGACAGTGCATACCTTAGACCGCTCGGCTACCGTGAACGGCATTAAGAGCATATGCATATAACAAATTTTTAATTAAACTCCCAAATATCATATTTCGTTCACCTTCTGTCGAGTTGTCTTGGGCAGGCAAACGGATATACATAGGCTCTCCGCTTGATTGCGGACGTGCCGGAATACTCGTATACTCTTATGTATGAGGCACTGTTTTGTTGTTCTGCCTTATTCAGTTTATATTTAAATTTGAAATCCTTACGTACTTATATGGAAATTATGTATATATAACATTGACAGTTGTACAGAACAAGTGCTATGACACATTACGATTTCAGTNAATATAATATTCGTTTAGTCGGTATTACGACTGCCTACGGGCTGGACGACCGAGAGGTCAGGGTTCGATTCCTGGTAGGGTCAAGAACTTTTTCTTCTTCACAGTGTCCAGACCGGCTCTGGGGTTCACCCAACCTCCTACCCAATGGGTACCGGGAGCTCTTTCCCCGCAGCTAGTGCTTAATTAGTTAAGCACAAGGACAACTTTACCTTTTTTTTTACCTGTCACTCCATCTCCTTCTTCCCTTAATGTCAGAGACCAAGTTTTCACCCGTACAGAACCACAGACAATATTATAGTTTTGTATGTTCTGATTTTTGTAGGCAGCAGATGAGGAGTCGGTAAGGTTCTTTGGACGGGTGATCAGCCCGTCACAAGGCCGCTACCTACACACAAAACAACACAATCACAGAATAAACGGACACAGACATCTATGCCTCGAGTGAGATTCGAACCCATGATCGCAGGGTTCGAGCGGGCAGAGACAGTTCACGCCTTAGACAGCGCGGCGACTGTGATCGGCTGATCATCCTAGCGTCGACTTATATAGTCTTGATACAGGCAGCGTCGTCAAATAACCAACCTCTAAAATAAAGCTTAATTTTGAGTGGCTTTGGAAGTAGGCTGGATAATAACAGTTTCGAACCAAACAATGGAAGAGTTTCCTGAATTCCTGATTTCATCTCGAATATTTCGTCTACAAATAATCTTTCAGATTGCAAGTGACTTAATCTGAAGAAGCGCCTTATCTTACAGATATAATTAATGTGTGAAGTAGGGACACGGTGCAACAGAAGTTTTAGCACGGATTAAGTTATACAGTATGGCTCGACAGACTGAGAGTTGATGTTTTTATGGCAATTACTCTTTTCTGAGATATTCCGCTATATAGTGTCGAAGTTTTCGAAGGATGTATACCTGCATCTTCAGGGTCGAAGAGTAAGGAAGGCATTGAAAAGGACAGCTCTCCGATACGTCGGGAAACATCTACCAGACTTCTTCATAGGGCTCGACAGCTTCATTTCCTGAACGCTTTGGCCTGCTCAACAATTCCCTTCCAACTACTTCTGTCCTGTGTACGAGTTGTCCAGTTACGTGTATAAATTCGTAAGTCCTTTACATCTCCCCTTACGTCATCTTTCCATCAGATCTTAGGTCGGCGTCTCTTTGTTATAGCGTGTGGCTGCCAGTCATCTATTCTTTTAACTATTCGTCCCGCCTCCATCCTTGAAATGTGTCCAAGCCAACTTATTGTTTTGATGAAGTTAACTATGTTCCTTCCTTTTATTAGAACTTAGCGTAAAATCCCAGAAGATGGTGTTATTTATGGTTTAACAGGATTTCATTGCTGTAACAATTTTCACTGTGACTCTATGGCTCTACAGCCCTTGTGGACCCTGGCCGCTTTTTCCGTACTCCTTAGACGGGTGATCAGCCAGTCGCAGGGCCGCTACCTACACACAGAACAACACAGAAAATAATCGCAGACAAACATTTGTGTTTTGAGTGGGATTCGAATCCACGATGCCAGTGTTCGAGCGGGTCAAGACAGTTCATGTCTTAGACCGCGCGGCCACTGTGACTCGGGTCACGACATTGGTTGTGAGACGTTGATATAACCTGTAGAGTTGATCCAGAGGCGTTAGAAAGATCAAGAGACAAGTAGGACGGATAAAAGAAGGCATGACGTTGGGCCATGAAAGGGGTTGTAAGTAACTCTGGCCGCCGTGCGGGGCCTCGTGGTGAAGCTGTGATTGCGCTGTCTGTTCAGCAAGCAACTTTTCCATCTCTCACGCAAGAGAGAAGCAAGTTTCGTTGCGCAACAAGTTCAGAGAAACCGTACTCCTCGTCTGTCCAGTGGTTTGTCAGTTATTGCTACACGAGAAGAGGGGCGGGAGCGGTGTTTATCTTATAAAAATTTGCCTTAACAAAGAGTTTTCAAATATGTGTTACCACACAACATTTCAGGGCTGTAACAAATGCTGCTGCTGTCAGTTTCATGTCAGAAGTTCTCATGGCCTGTATGATTGTATTGATGAAAGGAAATTGGAAGGCACAAAGATGGAACGGCCCATGTTCGTAGTAGCTTAATGTTTCATGTAACTATTTACAGTAGTGAGTAGTTCTAAATATGTGGGAAATATGATCAATAATGGCAATAGAAATGATAATTGTGTTAAGGAAAGGATACAGACCGGAAACAGGCCCTACTTCGCAAATCTTAGTGTACTTAAAAGCAAAATAATCTCAAGAGCAGCTACGCTACAAGTATACAAAACATTAATAAGACCTGTTGCTACATACGGGGCACAAACATGGACCTTAACAATAACAGAAGAAAATGCACTGAAAATGTTCGAGAGAAAAATAGTACGCAGAATATACGGACCAGTGATGGAAAATAACATATGGAGGATAAGATACAACGAAGAGATAAACACATTACTGAAAGGAGAAGATGTAGGAAGATTTATCAAGTCACAGAGAATAAGATGGTTGGGACATATCGAAAGAACGGAAGATAATGCAATGCCAAAGAGAATGTTGAAAGGAAGGCTTTATTCCAAAAGAGGAAAAGGAAGCCCCAGGATGAGAAGGCTAGACGATGTTGAGAACGACCTGAAGAAGATGAAGGCGAAAGAATGGATAAAGATGAGGAATAGAGAGCAGTGGAGACTGGTTGTAGATGAGGCCAAGGCTCACCCAGGGCTGTAGCGCCGAGTGGTAGGTAGGTATAATTTTCCATGTTTCATGAAAGTTATCATTTGGTTCGAAAGCCATTGAAGAGGGATGGACACGGGTTCATCGAGATAATGATGCTGTAAGATTTTCTTTTATTATAAAGTCAGGAGTGTAGGCCGAAAGTCAATATCTGTACGTTACCATTTTTATGGCAAAGGCAGCTCACCATTCTGAGTGTCTTACCGGGTCTGGTACGATTTTCTTATGAGCTGTTTTACGGCACTACCAGTATCTAGGGTAGTGTTTAGTGGCAGAATGGTGGATGGACTGGAAAGGATTTTGGAAGAAGCGGCCTTGTTCTAATTGACATGCTATCCCAGCATTTGCCTGAGGACTGAGGTGAACCACGAAAAACAGTCGGTATATTCGATGCATCAGCTAAGAGTTGAACCGAATACCTCCCGGGCACGAGTCTAGTGTTACCGCTACGGCAACTCATCCAGTGACATGAAATGAACAAGTGTTTTTTGGTTACATCACAACCATATTTCGTATATTAAGCCGAGGGCAGCTCGCGAATGATGTGTCCATGTTATGTCCTTTGGTTTGAGACCGGCCATTGTGTGTATCAGTAATGCAATTTGTAGTTTATCAGTCTGGTTTAGCGATTGATATATTTCCTGTACCTTCTCGTTCCTGGCCCTACTCCCAATTCAAGTCTTGACCCATTGTAACCACAGACATTTTGAAAATTATGTTTTAACATATGACAGAACTTATTAGACGGAAAAATCAGTCTATCATAAGTCTTATGTATTGTACTTATGAAGGGCCAAAAATAAAATGGCTGACAGAATTTCATGCTTCACGCAGCAGTCGAACACGCGATCTTTAAGGTCATAGGGAGTACGCATCTTAAACTAAGCGATTGTGTTCGGTATTTTTGAACCTAAGTTCAGAAGATAAACTGTGCTATGATTGCGTTTGCGCCCCAAAACTGTTGCCTAATCACAGGTCAATATTTTATCTTCTGAGACATTTAAAATCGTTCCAAGATGCAAATATTTGGAGTGAACAAACGAAATCGAGGTTCACGATATTATTAAGACAGGAATACATTTTGGAAATGCTATTTATTCAGTTCGAAAAATACTATCAAATCTCCTTCTTTCCAAAGCGTTTAAGGCGAGAACATGCAAAGCATTTTTTTCTTTTGTTTTACATGAACGTGAGACTTCGGCTTTTTTGAGGGAAGAACATAAATCACAGATGTATGGAAACGAAGTACACAAGAAAATATTTTGAGCTAAGAAGGGCGAAGTGAGTGAAGACTTTATGGATGTGCAGTAACCCAGACCGTTATTCGTCGGCTTTCCACCGCGGCAGCTCCGTTTCGATCTCAGGTCAGGTCGTGTGGGATTTGTGGTGGGCAAAGTGACACTAGGATAGTCTTCCTAGTACTTCGGTTTCCCCTCCCATTTTGCATTCCATCAACTGCTGCACGCTCTTCTAC